ACAGAGAGACCTGTGGGTAAATCCTTGAAGGTGGCAGGAGAGGCAGATTAAAAAAGCATACGGGATACTAGGCTTTATAAATGGGGGCATAGAATACAAAAGTCAGGAAGTTATGATGAACCTTTATAAAACATTTCACCACATTTTACTAGTCTATGTCCATTATAAAACCTGGTTAGGTCTCAGCTAGAGTACTGTGTTCAGTTCTGGGCACTACACTTTAGGAAGGATGTCAAGGCATTGGAGAGGGTGCAAAGGAGATTTACCAGGATGGTACTAGGAATGAGGGACTTCAGTTATCAGGACAGGCTAGAGAATCTAGGATTATTCTCCTTGGAGCAGAGAAGGTTAAGAGGAGACTTAATAGAAGTTTTCAAAATTATGAGGGGATTTGATAGGGTGAAAAAGGAGAAACTATTTCCACTGGCGAATGGGTCAATAACCCAAGGACACTGATTTAAAATAGTTGTTCAAAGAAACAGGAGAGGTGAGGAGACACTTTTTTCACACAGTGAGTTGTTCGGATCTGGAATGCATTGCCTGAAAGAGTGGTGGAAGCCGAATCAATAACAACGACAAGATTACATTTGTATAGTGCCTTTCACGTCGGGGGGACATCCCAAGGCGCTGGACATAGTACAGCATTTCAGACCCGAGCTGGGGTTGGGGGCTTAAAAGAGGGGAAGGGGGGTGGCCGATGGCATGGTCGAAAAGGAGGGTCTTGAGGCAGAGTGACTGGGGGATGGAATTCCAGAGGTTGGGGGCAGAGTGGCTGTAGGCTCTCCCACCACTGGTGGGGCGGATGTGTCAGGAGACTTGGAGCAGGCCAGAGTCAGCTGAGTGGAGGGAACGGGTGGGTTGGTAGGGGGTTAGGAGGTCGCAGAGGTAGGGTGGGGCGAGGCCATGGAGGGCTTTGTATGTGAGAACCAGGATCTTGAACTGGATCCTCTGAAGGATAGGGAGCCAGTGGAATCGGGCGAGAGTGGGGGAGATGGCGTCACGGAGTTTAGTGCGGGAGAGGACACGGGCTGCAGAGTTCTGGATTATCGGGCGATATTATGGAGGTGAGGGAAGGCAGAGCGGGTCATGGCTTGGATGTGGGGAAGAAAAGACAGTTGAGGGTTGAACAAGACACCTAGGTTTCTGAGTGGCTTGGTGAGTTGTAGTGTGCAACCATGGAGGTTGATGCTGCCAGAGCCTAAGATGCAGAGGCGCTGGCGCGAGCCAATCAGGAGGGCCTCAGTTTTGTTCACATTCAACTGTAGGAAATTTGCCCTCATCCAGGACTTGATGTCTGTCAGGACAGCAGTGGTCCTGGAGTTGAAGGTGGAGGCAGAAAGAGTTGGGTGTCACCCGCGTACATGTGGAAGTTGACCCCATGTCTGCGGATGATGTGACCAAGGGGAAGCATGTAGATATTGAAAGAGGAGAGGGCCAAGAACAGAACCCTGGGGGACTCCAGATGTGACAGTGCGGGGGCTGGAGGAGAAAGCGTTAGAGGAAACGAAGTGGAGACGGTGAGAGAGATAGTAATCAAACCAGGCAAGGGCAGATCCGTGAAGATTGAGTAAAACGGAGAGGCGGTGTATGAGGATGGAGTGGTCGACCATGTCGAAGGAAGCAGAGAGGTCAAGGAGGCAGAGGGAGTCCTGATCACAGATGTTCAGAATGTCATTAGTGACTTTGACCAGGACTGTTTCCGTGCTGTGAGCAGCGCGGAAGCTGGATTGGAGGGGTTCAAAGAGGGAATGGCGAGAGAGAAAGGAGCAGAGCTGGGACACGACGACTCATTCCAGGACCTTGGAGAAGAATGGGAGGTTAGAGATGGGGTGGTAGCTGGAGAGGAGGGATGGATCCAGGAAAGGTTTTTTCAGGATGGGAGTGATGACGGACATTTTTAGTGGGGTGGGAACTGAACCGGTTGCCAGGGAGAGGTTGATGACATCAGACAGGAGGGGGTGCCAGAAGGTGGAGCTGGGAGACTTTTAAGATAACAACTTTTAAGAGAGAAGTAAATAATTATTTGGGGAGGACAGGTTTGCAGGGCTATGGGGAGAGAATGGGGGAGTGGGCTTGAATTGGATAGCTCTTTTCAAAGCGCCAGCACAGACAAGATGGGCTGAATGGCCTCCTTCTGTGCTGTATAATTCTATGATTCTATGTATAGTTGCTCGAAGCTGAAGTAATGCTTTAGTACAAAGTGCAACCTCTTCCTTCTTATTCCCTTTTTAAAATAGTAATCCTTGTGTTTAGCCAGCGCCATGGGACATCCTCCCGATATGAAAGACGCAATATAAATGCAATTTGTTGTTCTGTTGCAATTTGTGTTGTGTATCGCAGCGAATGTCTCAAAGCTCTTTCACAGTTTTCTATAAAATGATGAATAACAATAGAGAAATAGCTTTTTACAGTATTTGCTGCAGATATCCTCTGTGCTGTTACAGGATTCTGTTTCTTACCCAAAACCCTTCTCCTATTTGACCCTCTCTACCTGATAGGGATTTAATGTTAAACACAATTAGATTTATTGCTGCCTGTCTAAGGGTCTGGAATTGAGGGAAGTATGAATATAAATGGGGTGGGGGTAATCAAATTAAAAACAACTCTTTTCAAGTGCTTAAACTCAAGCGCTTGGTTTACCTCTGTGCAGCTTATCATTACAGTGGAGCCTTGATCAAAATCATAATTACTGTAGTAGTGTGCCAAAAATGTGCTTTGAATGGGCAGCTTGCCTGTCTAATACCAATGAAGAATGGTGCATGAAGGCCCAAATGGTTGGAGAAAACTTTTTTTTAAAATAAATTTGCAAATTTCTAGCTAAAACGATTGACTTAAGTCCATACTGTATAAAAGATGCATATCAATAAGATGTTGCATGTGATATTTATCCAATATGTCAAAACGACCAAATAAATCACAGTTTCAAGAATTGGTTGTGCCATTGAGTTAGTCCATTTGATCAATATCAGATCCAATGGGTCCTATCAATTTGCATCAAATACAGTACAACCCCCCCCACCTCACATTAAGCCTGTTTGCTTAATGTAGACCCTGAAATTTTTGTTACCTGAAAATGCCATTATTGCACCAACCAAATCATGTTGTTGCATTACAGATTTCATCGCTGTAGCTCTGTAACGTGTAACAAAATGTGGACATTTTGACCCCTAACAGCGTTGACCAAAGATAGTGCAGACACTTGGCTTTCTGAGCATGTGCACGAGACATAACCAGTTATGTGATTGTTGATGTACTGCCTCAGAGCACTGATTGGTAGCCACATTTGAGCACCCCTTGCTGTAAGGTGCCTTGTAACAGGGTTGCTCTGTAATTTTGCCACGTTTAGGGTAGGCCAAGAAAGAAGAGACTAAAAGCAATATAGATGGATTTCGGCGTTCTGAATGTGCTTGTACCATTCAAGAAGCATCTCAGCAAAACAAAGTTTTAACTGAGGGTAATTACCCCAATTGGTTAGTTTAGGTCTCCCAAACTTGTGATACAGCGAGTTCTTAGGAAGTGGAGGGGAAGACGCTTTATGTGCAGTCCGCAATTTTTCATCAAGCAGGAGGGTAAAGGGTAGACTTGTTAAGAACTTAAATAGTGATCACATTTTGTTTTTCTCATGTTTGCAATGAAAATATTTCTATGGAAGCTATTTTATGAGTATTCTCTCATGGAGTGAGCAGTGCAGCCTGTGGTATAAATTATAATGCACCCACCAGGTATGGGTTTACAGAATATCACTTATCCTGTGCAAAACATTCTGTTGTGATTGTGTGTCAGAAATTAAATGTAATGTGAGTGAATTAAAAGCCTGTGCTTTACTAATGCAAGTATTCTTCTTGGATGAGATAAGCATTTTTTACCTTATTTATTATAAAAAGCATCGAATTACTGTGGGAATTCAAAACAATTCAGCATCTATTTTCTAAAGTAGATCTGGCAAACTCTAGCACCTAAATTGGTCCAGAAACCATTTACTCACAGCCTGAGACCCATACCGACTCCAAGGCAAGGAGGGAAACAGCTCTATTCACCCATGTGGGATCTGAATCTTGACCTAAATAAGTGTCACCTGTATCTCTACACCTCTGTCCAGCTTGCCCTCCACTAATATTTATTGCCTTGTCTTCTTAAGCTACTGCTTCAGATGTAAATTATAACTGCATTTAAGCACACCAAAAACTGAATTTATGTGGAGAAATTAATTTGTTTAAGTAAATTTTGAGGTGTATTTTGACAAATGGGATCATTTCTGCACCTTCTCAAATGCCCATATATCTCTCCTGTAGTGTAGTTGAAATCTAAAATGAGAAATACACTCACAAAGTATAAAGTATAGTCAATTCACTCTACAGTATATTCTGTGAAGTCCTTTGAGATGTCAACGATATACTAAGGCGCTATATCAAATACAAGGATTATTATTATTTATTAAAACTTTGCTCCATGTATATAACAACAATTTTCCTCTTCCAATTTGAGGTATATGAAGGCAGCATTGTTATTTTGCAAGTTAAGGCAATAGTTATAGCCTTAAAGATGTATATAAAAGGACCCAGGTAAGATTTTAGGTCTCTGCCAAGCTTGCTATCGGGTCAACAATTTGCATTGTGCCTGTGGGCTAGTGAGGATAATAATTAGCCTTGGTTTTCCCTTCCTGAATAGTGTCAAAGTTTGGCTGCTGAATGTGAACACTCGAGCGCACACCAATTGGGAATAGAAACTCTCCTGTTTGTTATTTAAATAGTGATCATGTTCTGTTCGCCTCTTGTTTGCAATGAAAACATCTCTATGGAAATTGTATTTTATGCGTGTTATCTCATTGAGTGAGCAATGCAGTCCATGTTATAAAATAAATTGCACCCAGGTAGGGGTTTACAGAATACCACTTACCCGTGTGTCAAAATTAAATGCAATATGAGTGGAATGTAATGAAAGTCTGTGCTTTATTATTGCAAGTATAAATATGTTTTTTATTTCTCCCGTTTCCTTTTCAGCAAGGGAATGATGAATTAAATTGTGATCCCATCAATGGTGTCCTAACGTCTACCAACCTTTCTGGCAATCCATTCCATCTGTTTCATTACCATTACCATCTGATATCAGGTAACTCAGAAAAGATCAGAGTTCAAACCTGTAATTTTCCTTCCCTGCATGGATCAGAATCAGATAGTTAATTTACCTATTGAGACATTAGGGGGAACTTTCGAAGTTGAAGTAAGGGAATTTGTTTTTCAACACAGGTCCAGTCTATTTACTGCATTATCGTGATTTATGTATGGTTTGGATGTCAAGGACAGTGTCCTGGCCTCGACCAACCTTCCTGGCAATCCATTCCAGCTGTTTTTATTACCAAGTACTTTCCACTCAGGATCAGTCTATTTGATTTCTACTTCTTGGGCCAGGTGCAGACTGGCCAGGACACTGTATAGCTTCAGCCTGACTTTAGATTTGAATCAACAACAACAACTTGCATTTATATACTGCCCTCCACCCAGGATAGCGTCTCAGAGCGCTTAACAGTGGCGGAGCCTGACAGTGGCAGAATCTACTGATTTGGTGTTGTATCCCAGTTTGCTTTATTCACTGCATATCTCACACTATATGCTTCACATGGCTTCCTACTTTCAATTTTGGATGTCACCTTCTCATAAAATTCCAAGATTCATTAGGGACAAACTGTTCCTTCACTTATTTAATTATTTTCATACAAGAACAAATCAGATGTTTCAAAACAACTAAGAGGCTACTGTTAGAAAATAGATTTCACTTGAATGGATTGAAGAGCATTGTTTTTAATATAAATGGGATCAATGTGATCTTGCGTTTATGCTGAAGTAAAATTAAGCCATTCCATTTTATTGCCTTGCTGTTAAATTTATGAGTATAATGAGGAGGTGGTGTTTATCTGTGTCATCTTGCAACCAAGAGCCGACATGGATTTTAAAACATGCATTATTTAAACTAATGCAAAAAGGGACTTAAATCCAGCAATGTCTTGCTAGGCAGACTATTAAAATTTACACAGATCAGTGACTGATTAATGCTTTGTAAAATGCATTTGTCTGAATTTATTGCGTTATTCTCTTGCAATGAGTATCGTTCTTTGCACGGCTTTCTGCAAACACACAATATCTCGTAATTCAGTAATGCTGACTTTTTCACCATCCTTTCACCAGGAATGCTACGTTTTTCACTACAGATCAATGACGTAACAGATACAGGCTTTGCAGCATTCATTTTGTTATTATAACCCTTTGGATTGTTTTTAAGTCTGATACAGCACCTTATCACATCGCGAAGACCTCTCAAAGCACTTCACAGAATATAAAGTGAACTGCCTGTGTATTTTGTGGGTAAAGCGTATCAGCGAATTGTACACAGCAGTGTCCCACAAACAGTTGTGGATTGAGTGACCAAATTTTTTTGAGAGGGATTATTAAACCCAAAAAGAAATCTGCCAATCGACTAACAACCAGGTTCCTACTTACTGCTTGGTAAACTGAGGCGCGTGGATTACGGAAACTTGCCTAACGGTTCGCCCTGCCTGGGAATCGAACCAGGGTCCTCTTGCTTGCAGAACGAGTGCGCTAACCACAATGCTACTAGTTTTTTGGGGGAAGTGGCTCCAGTTGGGAGGGGAGCATATATTGTAGGCTTTTGTGTTGAGTATTTTTCATTCAGGTTCATTTAAACCAACAAACGTGTGTTGTCCGTATATTTTGCTTGAAGGACTTTTTTTTTGCAAGGCAGGCTGTTCAGCCCCAAAGCTTGTGTGCAGTGCTGATACCCAAGCAAAAGTACAATAAGTTAACGGAGTCATGTAATTACACTAGTCATTGTGATTAGTCAGCAGTGTTGGTTTCAAAGTTTTAAGTCTGTAAGAGCTACCTTTTTAAAGACTATCAATAGAAATCATGTCAAGGACCTGTCGGGGTACTGTGAAAAGTGGAGAGTTCTGTTTATAGCTTAAACTATAATGAGGTGGCGTTTGGGTTAGGTCAGGCTAGATGTGATTCTTTGTTTCCCTTCTCTTGACCTCGCCTCTTGAAGGATTTATGGAGAGAACTGTCCCCGAACCATTTACTGAATCAGGGCATATTAAATTAAGCACTGATATTCTTTCCCATTCCTTAGGAAGTATTAGCTGTGTTTTTACCTGCTTGGTTAGTTAAATATTTTACAAGTTCTGCTAGTTTGCTGTTCCCATCGACTTGGAGGTCAAATAGTAGGGTGGTTGGGAGGAAAGAACTTGCATTTTAATTATACTTGAAAATAATTACTGAAATGTTTCAGCATGTTCAAGTGTAGTGACTATCGTTGTGAACTAGAGCAGTAGCCATTTTGTAAATGATAAGGTGCCACAAATAACCATGAGGGGAATGACCATGACAATGGAACTTTCGCCAAGACACTGAGAAAAACTCCTTCCACTTTTCCAATAGGGTCATGGAAGCAGAGAACAGGCAGACCAATTAAGACCTGACAAGATCACAAGATTGGTTTGGATTAAACAGGCCCTTCAGCCAAATCAATCTCATCCTTCCACAATGTCCACCCTACCATTTTCCTCCATCATTACATTAAGATGCTATGAGTCCAGGTTCCTGGCCTCAACCACCTTTCCTGGCAATCTGGTCCAGTTGTTGATTACCCTCACTTGAGTAAAATGAAACTTCCTGGTATCTGTCCAGAAATCTCATCTGGCACCTGATGTGAAAAGTGCTATATCAGATGTAAGGTTTTAAAATTATTTTCTTACCTCTGACAATGCAGGGTTCCCGTAGTATCAGCCAGGACTATGAGTTCAAGGCCCAACTTGACTGTCATGGCTTGAATCTATAACTGTTGGGATCACAAGAGAATTTGGATAAAGAAGGCTCTTTGGCTCATTGAAAGTATACCAGAATACACACTTTGCTATCCTTCAATCAAAGTGTCAAACTTTAAAATGAGATCAAGATTCTGGCCTTAACCATCCTTCCTGGCAATGTGTTCCAGACTTTAATTACCCTCTGGGCAAAGAACTTCTTGTCCTTTACAAACCCCAACTATGTGACCTTTTCATCTGGTGTCTCAGTGCATCCAAACGTACTTAGAAGTCAGAGCAATACCAACTGAGCTCATGTATTTAATTTTAAATTTAAATAAGTATCTTCAATTATCCTATACTCGAGTAGCTACAACAATATAAAGTACAATATTGCAAGAACTTCACAACAAAACTAGATCTGCAGACAACTACAATCATTTCCAAAAATAATGCTTTGTTGCAGCACATTTATAAAATGTAATGCTTTGAGGTTTGCGCTGCTACTGCCCTTGGGAATAAATTTCGGCAAATAAGTCTGTACCTTGGAATAATGTTTAGATTGGTAGATGACGGCTGCACATTGGAACAGGAAGAAAATGGATGATGTATTTGTAAACAGATGTTGTCTGTTTTTCACACTGTTGTTTCCTTGCAGTTTCCTGGCCTCGAGCAGCCATTTAAGCACACAACGTCAATCCCCAGGCATGTGGACTATTTCCTTTGTGCCAAGGTGCATTTGTGTTAAATATGGTGACCTTCATTTAAAGGGGCCAATTTACCATCAAGTTGAATGCTTGCTAGCCAAAGACAATTATACAGTGAGGCGATAAGCAGTACATTTTCACTTTCTTGCCACATCAGCTCTGCTCTTCTCAGAAGTAAAACCTTCAGTTAAATAGCTACAGAGCTCATGTGAAGATCTCACATATGTGCACTAAACCTCCTTTGCAAAAAAGCAATCAAGAATACTATCAGCATTTTAATCTGTCAGCCTTTAATGAGTTATTTAATGGAGTACATTCTAGATTAAGTGCAGTGCAATGTTCGCTGTATAATTTAGATAGTTCCTTGTGATCGTTTGCAACTACTTTTCCTTAGCTAGGTTAGTTGGGATTTTCTGTCTTTCAGTAGATTTGATGTATTTTCCACCATTTCCTTTTTGTTCTATCTTTGTGTCCCATTGCTTCACTTAACACTTTGATTTTCCATCTTATTTAGGATTGGTAAAAGAAACAACAGAAGTAGGTAATGGAGTAGAAATAGTATCAGCATTAGTAGGATTAAACATTCTTTTCCTCTAACTAGGTTGCAAGTTTTGCCAGTTGTAAGTTTTCACAAATTGTTCACTACAAATTTTATCCACTTGACAATTATCACCCATTACCACACTGTTCTTGCTATGTGACTACAGAAACGAGTAGGGACATTAAAAGCTTTATTCCTGCCGTCAGCTGATGTCCACACCACAGCATCTCAAACTGGTCATTGAATAGGGAGATGCATATATGAGGGGGAAGCGAATAGAAGGTATCGTACAATAGCAACTTGCATTTGTATAGCGCCCTTCACGCATGATAATATCTCAGAACGTTGAGAGGAATAGGAGAGGAGAGGGTTCATGTGGAGTGTAAGCACTGGTGCAAAGTAGTTGGGCTGAAGGCCTGTTTTCATTTCACTCTGTAAATAACTCTGTAACTTTGAATTGTTTTTACCTAAGGTCCTGAGGCCAATTCTAGTTTCCATAGCATTCCTCCAGTCGAGATCAGCTAACTCACAACAGTTCAGCATTCAAACCTTTTATCTGCAGTCTGTGTTCAATGTTACACTGGACATCACTTTTATTCATTAGGGTATACAGAGAGTTTGTATTTCTTCCAGCTCTCTGCAGCTGGGGAAGAGATATTTTATCATCTCTCATTGAACTTGGATTGCAATATAATCTATGATCCTCCAGTGCAGGAAAGACATTGACTGTATCCATGGAGATGGTTTTGGGATGTCACGCTTCTAACTGATGAGAACAGTATACAGTGAAGGTCGGAGTGGGGGGCAGGGGTGTCGTGGGAGCAGAAAAAAGAAAGTGTATTTCTTTGTGGAAATGAAAAGCATGGATATGCCCACTGTATTCAGAAAACTCACGGCTAAACTACCTGCTGATCTGTGATCTTTCATACTCACAGCACTGCTGCACTGAATCCTGTATGTTCTTGGGTACAATTATTGTGTTGCATTTAGAGAAATAATTTTAAATCAGAACCCTTTTCAATTTAAAAAATAAAATTTGGTCACTCCA